GTTATCATTTCAAATTCACAGTGTTTTCGCAAAAAATAGATAAATGTGATTAATAAATCTCAATGATAAACCTGATGATAACGTACTTGAGAAAATGTGAAATTGTGATAATTCTGTAACAAACTTCTTTGCAAACTTTGTCATTACCATTCAACCCAAAACTGTCAGTGATTTTTGCTTTTTCACTCAAACTTAAAAACAAATGAAAACCTTATACAGATCACACTTATTGACATCACAGTGTTACTAAAAACACTACTATAACACAGACCGTTAGCTGTAATAACACTGAACAAACTTACAACAACATCCTCCTTTCTCATGCATTTTGTTGCTTTTCTTCTGCATGAGTTAATTCAGACTAAGTATTAGCCTCCACAGAGGAGGGGGGAGGGGTGCTAGAGGTAAACTATATCTATGCAATCCCGTATCCCACTGGGCCCCGGTAAGTTCCACGTAGTGGTTCTAGTTTTTATTATTAAAGGAACAGTATCCCGTTACTGCGCATGCACCAAACTTTGATTCTTGGACAGGATGTCGCGAAATCAAAAGATGCGAGGAGAGTAAGAGAACCTTGAAAAATCCGTTTGCATCGCGCTTGACCGGGTTCGATACGACACTAAAACTTCTCAGGATTACAGCTCAATGATATATTTTTCCTGTTAAGTTTCGATTTGGGCAAAATCTGGATTTTTTGGCGTTACTTTTATTGCCGTTGGCCGGAGGACCAAAAGATTGGAAGCACTTTGATGCCGATTGAAGGCTTATTTCTTCTGCTAGCTTCCATACAAGCTCAGATAATTGTGAAAGGAATACGCAGAAATGAAAGGGCAACAATAAAGACTGTAAGAAAGAAACCATTGAGACATTGATGTGACTGAGATCTTGTGGAGGGGAGCATCGTGAAGCAGGATGTTTTGCAACGTGCGTTAGTAAACTTTTTTAAATGAATCTCCCTAACGGCCGACAAAATCAAACAAACAGGCGCTACATGTTTAGAAAAACTAGTGCCATGAAATCATAATATAATTTTTGACTGACCTTTCTAATGATTCATAGCGTTGAGATTGCATTTTTATTTATGTCTTTCAAACGTTTGAGGCTAGAACGCGAGCAAATCAGGCAGATATTACTAGACTTGGAACAACTGACCTCTGACACGAGTTTCAAATTAGAAAATATGTTTTTAAAGCGAGCGGAACGAGATTTTCGGGTCGCGAGGCGGCCCAGCTAGCGATAAAATCGCGATAAGTCTTCGAACCGCGGGCCAAATTTTTATATAAGACGAAAGACTTCTTTGAAAGTCTAAAATATTACTTGAGAATATAAACAACAAATCTCTGTCGGCGGTGCGGTCCGGAAGGAAATCTTGTCGAGTCAATATGACAGTTCTATTGTCTTTTGAAGAAAAAACAGATGACGCTCGCGCGTGCGCATAATCGGGACACTGTCCCTTTAATGGTCATTAACAATCGAAAGAACTGACATTGCATTTATAATGAATGACCGCAAAGAAATGACCTGCTAAAGTAGGCATGAAGACAAACAATGCACATTCTCATCAGGAATTCGAGATCTCCGACTTCTTCAGACCCCTTCATTACTGACAAATCGTTTGTTTATGTTTCAGTCCTACTCTACACAAAATATTATCTTGTATTTTGACAACCAGTGGCCCGGTGTATACCCTCAACCTGGCATGGTGAGGCATAAAATGCTCTTGTTTCAGCTTATTTCATTCAGTGTTATTGTTGTTGCTCTTGTCCTTTTGTTTTTAAGTTCCAGTGTAACTACACTACAAGGTAGCCCCTTAACGATCTGTTGCGCATATAGACTGTTGCTACTTCGATATACGTTGCCTTTGAAGACCGAAACTTCTCAGGTGGAGTTTTCTCATTTGAACTTTTTACAGGGGCACCCAACGAGAATATAGTTCAAAACCACTTAAACATAGCATTGTTAAACGTACTTTAGTATTTAAACGGTAGATATAGTGATCCGAAAATTATAGGGATCAAAACTTACCTTTTCGAAAATTTCAGCCACAAAAAAGGCTCGCGAAAATTCTAGGTGACCTTTAAAGGGTAAAAATTCGTTAAAAATGGGCAATTATACCATTTTTTAGATGTATAACTGAAAAAGAGAGAATGTATGATATCCTTTTTGCGGTTTGTTCATTTTTTTTTTTGCTGTATACTATACATATGTATTTCATGCACTGTTCATCGAACTGATATTAGCTATATGATTATTTGGCTATAACCAATGCAAGTTTCTTCGTTTTGTTGGGTAGTTTTGCCGTGGGAGGAAGCAACAATTTGATACGGTTAAGTTGACAACATATTTTTTAGATTTTCATTACTCAAAATAATAATCCTTTTCGAAATCTCAGCCTCGGGTTTACTCTTAAAATATTCTTAAAATTTTGCAAATTTCAGCCTCGATATTCTTATCAAATATATTCTTATAGAAAAAAAAGAGTGTACCGTAAACCAATATGTGCCCCTCACTTAGTGAGCAATCCCAGATGGAGTAAAAAATGTGGTAAAAACAACCATATTTACAACCGCGTTCTCAGGGCCATTTCTCTTCTCTTCGTCTTGGGAGATGAGGAAAAGTGTCAACCGTGCCGTGCTTCTACGGATGTAGAGAGGCTAAATCTTTACAGTGGATCACGGCTGATGCCATTTTACTACTACGATCATAATCCTTCATGGTTTTGCTTTCTTGTGCAAATTAGGGCTTTTTTATTTAAACCTCGCTGAGATAAGCAAATGTTAATGAAAGGAAAAACAAAAGGATTCTGGTCGTAGTAGTAAAATGACGCCATGTTGCAAATGGCCTATTACGTTGGATCGACGATATACCAAAGTGCCTGAAGAGACTGGAAAATCGTCTGCAAAAAGGGGATACGTTGTTAAGGTGGATTGTCCCATACAAAATCCTTACATTTTATGGTAAACTTTTTTAACTTTCTGGGCTTAAGGTCGAGTTTTCTGTGTACTGTTATGCGGGGCACAGGACAGAAACAATCACTGCTTCATGACAAACAAAATTCCACCCGAGTACACTAACTAAACTGAAACAGCCTGCCTGAACTAGTTTTCAAAGTCTCCAATTGAAATTGTTTTTCACTGAATCTTTTTTCGATTTTTCCCATCAGTGCATTCTCTCTTATTTGCTGTGTTGTTGAGATGTGCAAGTAGCGAATGTTTGAAACCAGTTTTTAAGGACCTCTACAGACTAGACATTTATAATTGTCAACAACTATTTTTTCGACAACTAAAAGTTATGGACAACTAAAAAACGCAGTGTGCGAGGCGAGCTGTCGACAACTAAATGTCTAGTCTGTGGAGGCCCTGAAGGCTGGATTTGGCAAAATTGCTTGATTCTGCTAATTAGGTTTAGTTTTGATAATTCAACGGTCAATTCCGGCCTTGCCATTTCTTTTCGTTTTTACAGGAGTGTATTGATAGGGAAAATGGAGTGAACAGTGGAAATAACCAAATTATTAACCTCACAACCAGTTACATATGGTCTGGATGCAGTGAGAAGCAAGTGCAGACCGCTAAATTTTTAATATGTAACGGTAAGAAAATCTAAGTCAAGATGGATATCTTGTGTATTGAGTGTAAGCTCCATGACTGCCCAAGTAACTCATATCACAATGTAATTTAGCCCCGAGAACGTTGACTTCCTGGACGTCACAAATAACGACCGAAGGTCGATCTTTTCCTTCCTTCTACTTTGGAACTCTCACCCGATGACAGCCTCTCACTGCAGCCAGTGAAAAGGGAAATCCACGGGGGGTACTCAAAAAAGTTTTATACGGGGAGGCTCCGCCCCGAGGTCCAAAACCGTACCCTTACATATACTATTTTTTGTCAGAGACAAGGTGCCCCATTCGTATACCTTCTATTGACAAATGGTACCCCTTTCACATACCTTGTAAATGCACTGTCTTTGAAACATAAATAAATCACACAACAAAACGTTTTCTCGACTTCTTCATAGTGAGTAATAAAATGCATCTGATAGCCCTTTTGGGCCTTTTTCAGACCGAAATGACAGTTTTCCTTACCCTTTTAAATACTTCAACTAGTGAAATCAGTGCCGGATCCAGACCTTGAGATAAGAGGGGGGCGGTCTCCCAAAAACCTTTTTTCGGCCCTTCGGGCTTCATTTTGGTCCAAAAATAAGGGGGGGGGGCGCCAGGCCCCTCTCCTGGATCCTCCACTGGAAATCCCCACCCTTTCATATACTTGAAGCCTGAAAAGGGTACAGCCTTTGGACGGAGCTTTCCCGTAAAGGCCATAGTAGGAAGTACCCCAACCCCCGAAAAACTCGTTGTGTCAGTCAGAATCGTACCATCAAGCGAAAGGAAAACAACAATATTTTGTGTGTGTTGATGACGTCCAGGTTGTAAGCGTTCTCGTTGCTTAAAGGTGGCTTTGTCACGGGGATACAGCTGTTTAAAAGTCATTACTTAGTGCCTTCGCACATACATAAAAATCTCGCGAGGGGGGGGGCGGGGCCAAAAGGGGTGGTTTTTGACCTCTTGTCAGTTTGTGTCTTGTGGCCTGAAATAGGAAATAGACTTGACCCATACGTTTGGGTCTGAAATGGGTAAGGTTTTATACCCGACTGTCTTGAATTGGGTATTTTTTTTTTTACAAACACCGTAACCACTCTCATTCGCCCAATGTTTTGCTCTACGGACTCTTAAGAAATGTGTTTTAAAGTTTAATCTTCGTAAACATAGCCTCCTATGCAGACGTCCCTCTAGCTTCGTCACGCGTTCCTTCCCTACAAACGTTGGAGAGGATTGCGGAACGCCTAAAACTTCATAACCATTTAACTGGTATTTTTTTTCTTAGGCGATCGTCGTTTCGTTTCAAGCCGTGACAGACGGTGGTATATAGCGCTAAGTAACTGCAATTCACCTAAGGTAAAACAATCTGTTGATTCCAAAACGGTCTTTAGAGCAGTCCCATGAACTGAATTGAAAATGCCAGTTATATTTTGTAACCTGGCTATCCTCCTCCTTAGGGATAGTCGGGGAGAGATTTTTAAAGGAGGATTAACAGTGGGGAGGGAGAAATAGAGAGAAGCAGTTTCTCCTCGAGGGTGGGGGTGGGGAACGCAAGAGAAGTTAAACTAGAGATGTGTAGTTGAGGCCTTCAAACCCTGACCCTGTTCAAGACAAAAATCGTTCATTTAGCTACCCTGTTTAAGACAAGAGACGTTATTTATGACCCTGATTCATTTCGTTTCGCAAACAAAATTAAGTAAACTCACTCACACCTAACCTCATCTATCCTCTCCGTGGCTCGTGGCCCATAAGACCTCTTGCTTCTGGTTTCTGTGATAACGGGGTTTTATGGGAAAGGGTTATCAGCCCTCAGGCCCACCCCCATCGTGCAGGACTAGGGGACCAAACTTAGTCTGGCCGGCATGGGCGGTCCTACCTGGAGTCAAAGACTCTTGCCGGTATGGCTCTATGGGTCATTGAAACACGCAAACCACTCCACCACGGTAAGGTCGTGGTCCCTTTGGAGTGAAATCTTTTTGACGAACATCATGGAGTTGGATTTTGTTGTGAAAAAAAAGGGTTGGTACCACACAAATATGTAGACAGCTCATCGCTAACCTAAAAACTCTTTAAAAAGCTTCCGGTTCAAAAAGACACCCTTTTAAGAACCGCAATAGAGAAATTGTATACCGTGATTCAAGACCCTTTTCAGCGGCACATCATGACCGTTTATCAACCAGGCGGTGTCCCTAGGAGTTTCCTTGCCTTTACTGTCTCTCTTGTTTGCTTTTCTCTCCCTCTTTTTTCCGAGACACGCCCGATACTCAGGCTACAAACAAGTTGCAAAAGTTCTCGAGACACTGTAGCTCATTTCAGTGTCATTTGGGCTGAAGCAACGTTGCCAGGACCTTGTGCTTGTTATGTCCCCTGCCCCTTTCCCCTTTTGAATGGAAGGGGGAAGGTGTGGCTAAGCTGCCGGTTTTTCGTGGGAGCGCCTCTGCAACTGGTTGTAGCTAGTTTGTGCCTTCCAGATTTCCAAGTCGAACGACAAATCTCAAAATTGTTTTCTGGGGGATCAGATTTCTTTTTTGGATCTGTCTGTTTTAAGAATTCCTTGTCGAAGAAGGTTGAGAACTGAAATTTTGTAACAAGAATATAACAAGACTTAAACAGTATCATACGGCTTTTTTTATTGCCATAGGTTGCTTAAATTTTAATCAAGTTTCCTTAAAAATAGGAAGTTGCTCCAATTGGCAAAAGTTGCCAGAAAAATTCTCCAAACAGCAAAAGTTGCCAAAAAGTTGCCAAGCAACCTGTGGCCAAGGCTAGGCAAAATCCGTTTTTTATTTTGCTCATTTTAAAATCTAGATGCTCACGAATTTGACAATCCATTCCGCTTTCTGCTTTGCTTTCTTTCAGGGTCTAGTGATGAAGTACAGATTGGAGATGGCAAATGGGAAAGATGCACCTGATCAATGTAAGTATCGATTAGCATGGGTTAAATCGAATGTCTTCACAAGAGCGAATAGGAAGCTGAAGCAAGGACTTCGGCGACGGCAACGAGAACGGCAAAAAACCCAGTAGGTTTACATTGGCAAATAACAACTTTGCACGTGCTCGTTTTGTGTAGGACGTGACCCAAGACAAACGACTTTATTTTTCTTCAACCTTGATACAGTCTTTTAGAATTCAACTCCAGAATAGTTTGTCAACACTTGACGAATTGAACGAGAAGGAATAAGCGCGATACAGTTTGAAGCAGTGCGAATCCACTTTTAAGCGACGTTTTCGTAACCGTCGCTGTGGTTGTTGCTTAAGCTCACTAGTTATGGGACGGAGAAGGAATCTTAGGGTGTTGGCCGGGATATGTGAACTTCAAATGACTTATTTTTAGAGGTTTGATTCCAAATAGAAGTATAATTCCTGGGAAGTCCGCACATTTCGGTCGATTATTTAAAACGTCATCAAGCCCACGCGCGACTGCCTCAAAGCAAAAGAAGCAGAATATTGTAATAGCGACTGTTGAATTCCGTCTCAACAACACTGAGGAAAATTTTGCGGACCCCTTCGGAAACCAACTTCCGATTAATTTCAAGTGTTTAATTGGTCTAAAAATAACTTTGGTTAAATTCACATACCCCAAGGGCTAAACTGGGCGTTTCTCTCTCTGCTCCATCATTCTCTCTTGGTGTTTAGCGAGAAACCGTACTGCACAGTAAATAAATAGATTAGAACAATGATTTTTAATGTTGTCTCATGTAGGAAGCAGTCTTATGCGGGATTTGCAGATCCCGCAGCCGTTCTTGCTTCTGTGGTCTCAGTCAATTGGGGGCGGTTAGAAGGGAGTAGGTTAGCCTTCCAATTTTTGTCATCTCTCCTTACTCTTCACCGCTAAAGGGACATTTAGCGAGCGGTAAGAAGTGAGGACAGGCTGCTGTATTTGCAGGCTAGGGGGTATGTGGATCCCGGCTATGAACTGGGCTCTTTTGTTTTTCCTCATTTTCATGAACCTGGTTGCCTCAAAGTAGGAGATGGGTTCGTAGCTTGTGTTTCTCCACTGAGCACAGTTCAGGCAGCCTTCCCAGCCGTCTCATGTCTTCAGGTTATAAAATAAGCGAGGAATTATTGTGATTGAAGAGTTGTCACTAAACAAAAACAAAAATTATATCTTTCGTCATCTAAATTGACAGTAATATTCAAATAAACCAATCGTCTTTGTTGGCGCCGTCTTGCCCGGAAAAACGCGTGAAAGAAAGTAAAATTGGTTTCGATTCTCTTCTGAGTGGTTGAGAATGACAGTAGACTGATGATGGTGATGATGATGATGATGATGATGATGTTAGTGATAGTGATAAGGGAGTTTCCTTCGAATTAACTTGTTTTGTTGCATTTTATTTGAAGCCGCTTCGTTAACGTGCCATCACTGCACCAGTACCAAATCATGGGAAGACTGCGAGCGAGTGTTTAATCAATCAACCGCAGAGTGTACCCAAGAAGACTCAGTTTGCTTCAGTGTTCACTACAGGAAGGGTGGGAGCACTCAGTATGAAAGGTCTTGCGGTTTGAAAAGCCACTGCGAGAAAGAAGCTAATCCAGTTTGTTCCGATGAAGGCGGGTCATCGGAATGTGACATACGTTGTTGCGATGACGATATGTGCAACGCGGGCTCAGTCATTAGTGTCAGCGCCCTCCTAATCACCGTAGGAGTTTTTGCACTGATATTTATGGTGGAACCATGAAATAAAAACTTGAGACTGTCCATTTTTCTACGAGATTAACAAATTAGTATAGGTAATAGCACTATTTGTAGTGATATTTGGCATAAATACCACGAGTGATATTTCGAAATTGTTATACGAAATTTCACGAGCCGTTAGGCGAGTGAAATTTGAGACAATTTTGAAATAGTGGTATTTATGCCAAATACCACGTTCAAATAATGCTATTATTTGTTAATACTACTACTCGCAAAAGGTTTGTAATTTTCACATGTAGGTATTTCAAATTAAGCTGAAATACCACTGCTCTAAGCCAATCAAATTGCAGAATCTTCTAATGTAGTAGAAAAAGGGCCAAAATAATGTCATCTTCAAGGACTCTTGTGGGCCACCAAACTCTGGCTCTCAGAGGTAGCTGAAGCAGTTCTTTAATAGGGCTGCTTTCCTTCAGATTGTTCTCAAATGGCTCCACGGAACTTCCAGGCCTAGGTAACATTTCTCGGCCTAAAAAAGATCTTTTGAATTTACAATGTAGACAATTTTTGACCTAAACAAACAACAATACTGATTTTTTGGCTCATCTCTCAATCATTTAGCAAGAAGCTCAGTTGATAAAGTTTTTTACTATTCACAAAAAACGCAAAGCACATTGAAAGGATGCTTAGCTATATGTGGTTTATAATATCTGGATATGTATATATACCCTTTATCATAAACGGTAAATAAAACTAAAACGTCAATAACTGTGAGTACTGACTCTTCCACAATCGTAAAACGTCTTTTATTATTTATAAGCCAACACGATTGAGTTGCGGAATACTAGATTGGCATCTCGACTAAGGGTTTTGCCTTCCACCTTTCAGTCATCCCTCGTGTGCATCTCTAAAGTCTTTCCTCGGAAATATAACAAACTTAGATTCAAAGACAAGGACGCCTTAGAGGTCAAGACTTGAATTTTTTCACATATCCTTAAAAAATAGATACTCCAGAAATTAATTGAATCTCCATTTTCCCTTTTTTTAAAAATCAAATTTTGGCCAAAATCATGGGTTAACCTATTTCAAAAAATAAAATACGGCAACCCTTTATGATCGATTTTTCTATAGTCTACTATACAGGCTTGTTTTCTGTCTACAACATCGAAAAACATCATTTGAAGGCCTGATTTACCTTAACATAGACAAATAGAAATTTCTAAAGTTTTGGTCAAAATCATGAACTAACCCCTTCACAAAGGTCCAAAACTGGCGACCAAAATTTTATAGTCTAGAATGGCTTGTTTGTTCTCCTTAGAAGATCAGTAAACATTGTTTCAACACCTCCTTTAATTACATAAAGAAAAGACATTAAATCTTTACCAAAAGCATGGGTTAACATCTTTGCAAAACTCCAATAATGGTGACCATATATGATAGACATCGTTAATACTTCTATCTAGAAAATCATTAAACACTGCTTCAAGGCCTATTTTACCGTGAGAAAGGCATTGATAAAAAAGTATGGTTTTTGACGTACCTCTCTGTTCTAAACAGGGTGTATAATTTTATGGGAGTCTGTCCTAATTCTAAACAGGGTGTTGTCTGCACAGCTGATTTTGATTTGCTTGATAAGCTGTGACTGTACTTCAAGTATACAAAAGCAATGACTATAACAGGAATTTGCTCTATCACTTCGCATGGCAATATAAACGAATAAAAG